CTTTTTTGTTTGTAATTTTTATTGGTTAAATCTGAAACTTACTACTTTTTTGTTTGTAATTTTTATTGGTTAAATCTGAAACATATCATTTTAGAGGAAATTTCAATTGTTTTATATATATTGCTCAGTTATAAAAATATCATCCAGTTATGATTGGTGATGATCGGTGCAGTAGTTTCTGAGATCTGATTTTGGACGTATACATAGCAAACCCCATTATAATAACATTTTTCTTCTCAAGTTCCAAATGTTATAATAGATAATAAATTCTAATTAAAGTGTTATGCCTTATCTTTATTTTCAGTTTGCTATTATATACTACATGTGTTCTTGCTTTTATATTAATATTCATTATGCATTCTTTCATAAACTAAATGTTCAGACATCAGTATTTATATTAAATTGTTGGCATATTTGAGCATTAAGATAATTTCTGGCTAACAAACACACTATCATTATACTTGCTTTCAATTCATTGTTCATTCAGTATTGTTACTTAAATTAAAAACTCGCTGTTACACCTGCAGAACATGTATGTGTGCAAACAATGGTATGATTTTACCTTACTGTTTTAGATAGCATAGTAATACATAGTCATTAATTTGTATAAAAATTGAAACTTTTTTAATTGTTTATTTACTATGTTGTAAAATTATTTTATAATTTTTATTCAGTTTTGTAATATGAAATTTTAAATAGTTATAGGAACTTTGTCTAGCTTATGTGAATAATAGTTCTGATCTAACAGCAAAATCTTGATTTAATTAATCACTTAATTTTTTATTTACAAAAGAACATTTATTAATTAAGTTTTTTTTGGTAAACAGTTTATTATCTTGATGCTAGTATCAAAACTTGCTTGAAGTTGACATAGCAATAGTGCTAAATGTTAGGATGCACATAACTGAATTTATTTTAATTACTGGTACAGGTAACTATAGCTATAAGCTTACTTAATCTTAAAATATCATTTTTTATGCTATCATTGCTAAGCATAGTTTATCATTATGATGATACTATTATAAAATATTTTAAAGATACTTTGTTTCCATATACTACTTTTTTTTAGCTTTAAGAACATGATTTTTACTTGGAGCTTATTTAAATTTTTTGTCATCTTCTGTTATAGCTTATTGCAGCAACTTGTCTGTATTTGGCTGGGAAGGTAGAAGAAAATCACCTAAAGATTAGAGACATAGTTAATGTTTTCCACAAGTCAGTAAGAATTATGTTAATTTCATAATCTATAAAATTTTCTGTAGTTTTAATTACTTAGTGATTTAGTGAGAAAAAATGAAAATTTTTGGTGGTTCTGATATTTTTTTATAGGCTCTTGTTTTTATGTAAAAATTTAATGTAATTTGTTTTGTGAGTTTCTTGTATTTATTTTGGTATTTAATTTTCTTGCTTAAATAATTGATTGAGCCTTTCATATTTGATTTTTATTAATATTTTTATTGAGATTTAAATATATTGTGTAAAATTTTCACTTTTTAAGAAAAACAATCAATCATTTTATTGAAATTTGTTTTGTAGTCATATATAGGGGGCTAAGAAGATCTTTAGTACATGTGTAGTGAAAGGTTTTGGCAGTAATTCTTTCTTCTGCAAGGCTTAGGTGTTTTCATTTAATGTGAAAAGCTGGTACATTTTGATTACTTAAGTAAATGAAATTTTTATATATTGTATATATATATCTGCAAAATATAATTGCAAACTGTTTTGAATATAATTTTGATATTTTTTGTTCCCAATTCAGCTCTATAGAGGAGCTCATTAATTAGCAGTAGGTGTTATTGACTAACTGCCTTTTGTCTAGTCTATCAGACAAGAGTAACTAGAGAATTAGCTGTGGGTATTGATAACTATTGCCGCTTCTATACTCTATCAGACATGTAACTTAACAGTTAGTAGTGGGTGTTGTTTATTACTGCCTTTCTTCTAGTCTTGTCAGGTCAAAATTAGGGATGACTGTGTACAGATATCCCTTATGTAGTTTTGTGTGAAGTTAACTGTTCTGTTCTGAAATAGTTATATGTTTACTGAAAAATTACCATAAGGTTACAATTTTCTTTTTGGTGCATGTCACAATGTTTAAATATACAACTTATGATTAATGTATGTCAATGCAATTAGCATTATAATTTACATTGTAATTCCAAGTTTTATATTATATACATTTTAATTCCTTTATTTCAAGAATAAAGACATTTAAAAAAAGTTTTAAACTTCCATTTTGTTGTCACATTACCAAGAGTGTTTACAAACCTTTGTTTTTTTTCTTTTATAACTTGAATGCTTCTTCTTGTACACTATGTTTCTGTGTACAGACAGAAACTTGGTTAATTGCTCTGTTTACACATCCTTCTCTCAACTTCCATAGGGTCAATTCTATCCTGCCACATGAAATAAATTTTGCTAAGTCCTGATGATGCCATGCCCACCTTCCGTAGTTAGACTAGAGATTTAGAAGCCACATGTACTTATTTGGCACACATGTTTATAATCAATCAAAATTGCTCATTTTGAACTGTTTTACTGTCAATCTTCCTAAATAGTTGATGCAGGGAAAGCCATTATACTGTTGGAGGTTTGAAATATGATGAAACAAAATTTTTAAACCTTCATATAGCTTTGTTAGAAAGGCAGATCTATTAAAGTGATTGTTTTGTGATATCATTCTAGTAACTTATAGTTTGTTGACATTTGAACATATAAAACCTATACAATTTGTCCTCCACAACAAGGTTTACCAAATATAATGTACAAATTCAAAAAAGTTCATTGTTTTCTATATATCTTTTATTTACTGTTGTATGTTTCAAGGAAAATAACTGAAATGTAAAATTCCAACAAGGTACTTTACTTCTGCTCACTTACATAGCTATTCTCATTTAGTGCTACCCTCTATTTGCAAAATTTTTTTTTGCATTACAAGCCTTTCACTCCCACACACATGGTTAAACTGATTCTCGCATGCAAATTATCATGTGACAAACCTCTACCAATAGTAGTGCCACACACCCACTTGACTCATGTGATTCTCTCTATGCTATTCTACCTATTACTTCTCATTTGGCAGTGCTCATGTTGAGATGTTTAGTTTGTGCTATCTTCAAGTGTTTTTCTTTATTGTATCTTTGTATCAATTTCTCTCAAAAAGTTTACTATTTATTATACAATAGTGATACTTGTAACTTATTCCAAAGTGGAATTGTTTTATATTTCTACCCAGTTACAGAATTTAATACTTCATTACAAATTGTCTTTCTACTTTTTATCTCTTTCTGCCAACATGGTTGTGTTTGGTTATTCATTTTAATTTATAAATTCTGAATTCTAAGTTTTACCACTTTGGAGGTTATATCTTTTAACAGCACATTTACATGGGCTTCAGGTGGCAGTCTCGTCTAGGAAACTATCGGCTTTACTTTCTCGGGAGTTTGATCATCCAACGAGCTGTTCTGTGTAAGGCCTCAACTCGAGTTTGGGGCGCACACATTTTAATGTATGGTCTGCTGACTTTGGAAAGATAAGACATTATACTGTTATGTTTTTTGAATATTTTTACTGTTAATATTATTATCTGTAGTTATTTTGGTTCAGTGACATAAGTTTAGTTAGATTGGTCAAAAATCATAGTCAAGCTCAGGTTTGAAATAAGTGCTTAGTTTTATCCTTTGTCCTATAAGATTAGATTAGGCTTAACATGAGTCTTTGTTATTTTAGGATTACCAGTAATTCATTTTACTACTATATCATAAATTAGGTTAACAAAATTGTTTTTTCTTCAAAACATCACATCTCGTACACATCTAATTTTACAATATAATGTCTATTTCATTTTTGTTAGTATTAATTTTATATTAGTTTTATTTCTGTGGACCCCTAAAGCCTGGGTCTGCACAAATTTTTCTCCCGATATTGAATGTATTATTGTTAGGTTAGAGTTTTTATATTAGAGCTTAGTCATATACTTTGTCCTGCACAGTTTGATTAGGCTTAACAAGTGTCTGTTATTTTCAGTTTACCTGTAGTTCATCTTATGGGTAAATCGATAATTAGGTCAAATATGTTGTTTTCTTCAAAACATCACATCTTGTACATATGTTTATTTCACTACACACTTACTTAAATTTACCTTATATTGACTATTTCATTTTCGTAATTCTTTATAATTAATAATTTTTACAATTAATCGAGTTTGTGAGGACTCCTGGGGTCCAGGGTCTGCCCTAGCTCCTCTCAATATTGCTTGCCTTTTTCCTACAACTGCCGAACTCGTTTAGGATGACCTAGATTTTGTCAGTTTTTCTCCACCTGATTATGGCTTGCCTTCCTAGGCCTCTACTGTGGAATATGCTAGGCCTACCTCATCATTATTTAGACACATTTCAAAGTATAATTTCCCCTCCTTCTCCAGACATTCTTTCATGATGAGCATTTTTGTTCTATTTTGGGGTGGGGGTACTTGCTTTGGTTCAATTTGCCTAAGCTTACTATCAGGCAGATTTTCTTCTTGATTATGTATACTTAGAATCTCTGTCGCCTGTATGTGGACAGTCTCTGTTAATCCTATCCGATTTATCTCTCACCTAGTTTTTCAGCTTTGTCTTACCCTATTGACTCTTCTACAGGAAATGTCTACCTTACACCTTCTTTCTTAGGCATTCCACCTATATCTAAAGGATTTTTATGAGATACCTCTTCCTCCTTCCCTCCATGTTGGGGCATTTGTCATCTTCAGTTCTTTTCCTTCACACTTGGCCTCTTTGCTTTTGCAATCTTCTGGGATGGGACACTGTTTTGTACCATTTATTTACCATCCACGTTGATTAGGGACTTATGGTTGGCTCTTTTTCTCCACCAGTCCATTTTTGGGGGCTACTCCTATGCATTTAGCATCATGTGGGGTAACTGCAATGGTATATTCTATTTTTTGTTGTTCTTTTATTTCATTCTGAGTCATTAACATATTTATCCATGTTCAGCACCTTCCCGTCCTTTACTTGTCCTATCTATGGGTTTCTCCATTCATCATTTGGAGCTAATTGGAAGTCTGGATCAATTGGTTCCACCTCAATCTCTCCTTGGTTCTTCCCCATTATAATTTGTAGTCTTTGATCACAATTTGGTGGGCAGTTTCTGCAGAACTGAGAATGCCCAGTTCTTATTTTTTCATTTCTCGGGACAGTAACCTAGGTTTTTTCATCATGTGAACTGGTACCAGTTTTGTGCCTTGCCCTTCAGACTTGTTTCAGTTCTGTATGTCTTTTGTCAGGTGGTCTGCATTTTAGGGGATTTTACAAATGCCACTACTTGGACGTCTGGCTTTGGTTAGCTCCTTCCGAATGGGGGTGGTCATAATATACTTATCTGCTTCTTACACAAGTAGCTTGGGTGGTTGGATTTTCCAGTTGGATAAATTTTTCCTGATACCACCTAACAATCTCAGCTATTTGGGGAGTGTCTTTTTAAATATTCACCTCTGTCAGGACCATCCAATCTCCTCTCAAATGCATTTGATGTATTTTTCTGGTATCCATGCCATTAGGGTTCCCTGTCTTACAACTAGCAAGGTTCTGATGCATTGGGAGATGTGGTTTCTATGGTAGCATTTCTCTCTTTTAGTCTGATACATTTGTGATATTTTCAGGAGACACTGCACGACTCATGGTCTCTTGCTAGGATTCCTTTCTTAATTTTCCTCCTTCCCACTTCAACTATATTCATTGGTGGTTGAACATATCCCCATGTCATAGGGTTTACCAGTTCCTCCCCCTCATCTGGATTTGTTTCTCTTCCCTGATGCTCATCTCCAAAGCTGGGGAGCATGGGTCAGTCAGCAGGAGCCCTCCGGACAATGGTCTATGGACTAAAGGTCTTACCATGTTAACACCTGGCACTTCCAGCAATCCAACGTGCTTTAGTTCACTTTCTTCCTCTTGTCCAGATTTGACTAATAATGTTTTATTCCAACTATTCGAAGATGGTGGCTTTAATCACTCACCAATGGGGCACTTGTTCTTGTTCCCTTTGTGGTAGATAGTGGATCTCCCTTTTTGAACCCTTACACTTGACATACGTCTCCTGGTGTGTCATGTTCCAGGTGCTTTTGTCCTTGTTGCAGATCATCTGCACAGGAAGTGGTTGACTCCTTTCTTTATTCCAAGTTATCTCTTTTAACAGTTTGAATGGGTAATGGAGAAAAACTT